CTACTAGGTACGACATATATATATATATATATATATATATATATATATATAAATATATATATAATATATATATATATATATATATATATATATATATATATATATATATATATATATATATATATATATATATATATATATATATGTCGTACCTAGTAGCCAGAACGCACTTTTCAGCCTACTATGCAAGGCCCGATTTGCCTAATAAGCCAAGTTTTCATGAATTAATTGTTTTTCGACTACCTAACCTAACTTTTTCGGTTACCTAACTAAACCTAACCTATAAAGATAAGTTAGGTAGGGTTGGTTAGGTTCGGTCATATATCTACGTTAATTTTAACTACAATAAAAATAAATTGACCTCAAACGTAATGAAATGGGTAGTTTTATCATTACATAAGACAAACATTTGAGAAAGTTTATTAATTCAGGAAAACTTGGCTTATTAGGCAAATCGGGCCTTGCATAGTAGGCTGAGAAGTGCGTTCTGGCTACTAGGTACGACATTAATATATATATATATATATATATATATATATATATATATATATATATATATATATATATATATATATATATATATATATATATATATATATATATATATATATTACACAATACACACACAGTATATAAAATCATTCTGAGGTGTTCATGGGATATTTTGAAACTTCTATGATTTTTGTAGTTGCCCATTTTTGGCAGACTGCTGGGAATGATATAAATATGCTTGTTATTCAGTATATTGTAACTTGAAAAGTATGTAAAGAGAAAATGATTTGAAATGATAAAATGTTTGGTATTTAATAATTCCACACGTCTCGGTTCTTGAAACTATCATATGTAGATGCAGCCAAAGCACTCTTTCCAAGGCAGACAATGAGTCTTAATAATGTGGCTTGACGTTATGAGAACTAAATCACACACCAGATGATATAACGTTTCTGTCCATTATCATTATCATTAACATTACTGGATCATTATCTAGTAGACTTGATAATGGTCCAGGATGGATAGAAACAACATTGTCTCGTCATCTTATGGTGCGTGGTTTAGTTCTCAATGCTTAAGATTTGTTAGTTCCAATTACACAACAGTGTACCGTATTTAAATAGAGATGCTAGAAATAAAATAAGTTATATTATGTGAACCTTCAAATCCAGGGTTGCCACTACAATGCTCTTACTTTTCAAATCACTTGTGCTTTTGTGCTTTTCTGCCTTGAGTACTGCTTGTTACAGGCTTCCCCTTTCAAAGCAAGAGATTTCTGAAGTAGATGGAATTCGGAGAACATAAGTTATGCATCGACACGATACACAATGTATATGCAATAACATAGGTGCAATCGGAGTACAATAAATGAACATCAGAGATGGCTGTTCAGTATCTTCCCAGCAAGTGCAAGAAATATTGCAATAAGTGTTGTTTAACCACTGCACTGCACACCTGTTTTTGGCAAAAATTTCATGGTGCAGTTGTTACGGACATTTTTGTTTTTATAAATGTTCAGCTAATGTTAATGTCAAAATGTTTCCAAACTCAATCATTTTCATTTCAAATCACATAGTGATGAAAACATTAAAATAAAACTTTAAATATGGCCTAATTAAAACAAAATGACAACCCTCAGAGCGACATTAGTTGGCTGGTGCAATGCAGGGGTTAAAATTACTTTCCTGCCATAAGTACTGAACCAACCAGGTTGTAGTAGATGTGGGCCTGCAGGTTGCTCAAAGCAACAACCTGTTCGGGGAGTTGAACACATCCTGGAACCCACTCCAGGTACACCATAACCCACCTCATCAACCACCACAGTCATCCACCTCAACCATGATTACCACAGCAGTGACAAGAACTGCAACCCTGTCACTACAAACCACCATTACAGTTTAATTCTAGTGCAGACTTAGGGGCTTAAATAATGATCAAAATGGGACACTCTACAACCAGCAAGTCTCCCAGTGCACTGTGATACTTCTGTCTATCTCGCTTCTCTTTCTTGTACCATACTCGCCATCCAAATAGCACTACCACAATTGCCACACTCGCTGCCTAAATCACGACTACCACCGCTATACTTGCCCACCCTGTTTGTATCGAGTTACATACCGGCCTGGGGCTACATTGCCTTCTCGCTTGCCTTTGAGCCATAACTTGTAATTAAAATTACTGTACAGTATGTCTTCCTTTACAGTGTTTAGTACTAGCCCAAAACAATACCATATTTGCCGGCGTAAAAGTTGCACCCTTGCATAGGACACGCCTCTACAAGGATACTCTGTTTTGTGGAAAAAACTATTTTAGTACGTTTCATCATACATTTATTGAAAAATATTTAAAGGTGGATTTTGTACCCCGAACTCTTACCCCTAAGATCATCGGTGTAGTTTATATTTTGGGCAAAAGAATTGCTATACAAGATGTGAAACTTGTATTTCTGGATGTGATGTTTTGTGTTGCCGCATCAGGCCACCAGGGCGGCAGCACACCATCACAGCAC